GTAATGAAACAGTGATTCTAATCTTGTAGAGTTAGTGAGATTCAACATTGATATATAGACATGATGGTAATGAACAGTGATTCTAATCTTGTAGAGTTAGTGAGATTCAAGAGTGATATAGACATGATGGTAATGAACAGTGATTCTAATCTGTAGAGTTAGTGAGATTCAACAGAGATATATAGACATGATGGTAATGAACAGTGATTCTAATTTTGTAGAGTTAGTGAGATTCAAGAGATATATATAGACATGATGTAATGACAATTGATTCTAATTTTATAGAGTTAGTGAGAATCAACAGAGATATATAGACATGATGGTGATGAACAGTGATTCTAATCTTGTAGAGTTAGTGAGATTCAAGAGTGATATATAGACATGATTGTAATGTAAAGTTTATTACCTAATTTTTAGCGGTTCCATGACTGCTTCACTAATATCTAAAGAACCACTCTGATGGTCTGGGACTACGCATTCTAATGTACATATTAATTACTTATTTTGCATAATGATTAGTAAATTTTTGGCTTTTCCATCTTATCATCCCATTTCAATGAAACTTGGTAAATGAATGCTCTGAGATATTGCATGGACCTGATTAGGTTTTTATTGAAGTTCAGTGTATAATAATTACCTTCTTTGCATATTAATTAGCCAATTTTAGGCCTTTTAAATTTATGAACCATTCAATGGATTTTAAAGAGTCTTAATGCTCCAGGATAATGCCCAAACCTGATTAGTGTTTGATTGAAATCAATGTGATATGACCAATGTTTCAGATGAAAATATAGGATCATGTGACCTCAATAATATGCATAAATGTAATATTTTAAGTACTGTTGTAGATAGGGACATGCAACTGATCATTGCTTGCAGTTATATTTTTTAAATAGAAACAAATTTGTTAACTGTAAATATATAGTAAAGACGGTATTCCCTATTTGTATTTAATACCTCCATACCTTCAGCACATAGAAAGGAGTTCTTTCTAAGCTCTCTTTGATTTGTATTTATTACCTCCAATACCTTCAGCACATAGAAAGGAGTTCTTTCTAAGCTTCCTTTGATTTGTATTTAAATTGATTTGTCAGAATAAATTAGTGGCTAATGGTTATATATATGAAGGTAAATACTGTGGATGGTATTCCATATCTGACGAAGCTTTCATAACAGATAAACAAGTGCAAGATGTCACAGATAAACATGGAAATGTTACCAAGGTAATGAATGCATAATTTAATTTTTATGTTATACACAAATTTTTTGTAATAATGCTTTACTACTTTTAAGGCAGATGTTGGTGGAAATAGATATGATAGATTTATGAGATGCAACTTGTGTTATTTTGATGTAATTTGTACATGCATACTAATGGTGAAAATTTCCAACCAAGTCAGTTTGTCACAGCAATTGTGTTTGGTAGGTTACTGATGTACATCATTTTGTGAAAGTCATAAATCTGTTCACATAAAAGCGAATGCGAAGTGAATTTTCGTATTGTTTGTGGGGTTGTTTTCTTGGGAGTTACCGATATTTATTGCTGGAAAAAAACAATTCATTTATTGGTGGCTATGTAAGCAGTGGCCAATCATTTATTGGTGGCTATGTGAGCAGTGGCCAATCATTGATTGGTGTCTATGTGAGCAGAGGCCATTTATTGATTGGTAGGTATGTGAGCAGAGGCCAATCATTGATTTGAGGCTATGTAAGCAGTGGCCATTTATTTATTTATTGGTGGCTATGTGAGCAGAGGCCATTCATTTATTGGTGACTTTGTGAGCAGAGGCCATTCATTGATTGGTGGCTATGTGAGCAGTGACCAATCATTGATAGGTGGCTATGTGAGCAGAGGCCAATCATTGATAGGTCGCTATGTGAGCAGAGGCCATCCATTGATTGGTGGCTATGTGAGCAGAGGCCATTCATTTATTGGTGACTATGTGAGCAGAGGCCAATCATTGATAGGTCGCTATGTGAGCAGAGGCCATCCATTGATTGGTGGCTATGTAAGCAGAGGCCGTTCATTGATTGGTGGCTATGTGAGCAGAGGTCAGTCATTGATTGGTGACTATGTGAACAGAGGCCATTCATTTATTGGTGGCTATGTGAGCAGAGGCCATTCATTGATTGGTGGCTATGTGAGCAGAGGCCATTCATTTATTGGTGACCATGTGAGTGGAGGCCTTTCCTTGATTTGTTGCTTTGTGAACAGAGGTCATTCAATGACATTATTTTAGACAAATAATTATTATGGGATGAGATAATTATTTGGATTAAGCTGACAGGAGCATTTTAGTTTGTAAATACTTACATTAGAAGTTATCACAGTTGTTTGTGTTCATTCACTGTAGGTTTCGTCGGAGACTGGTAATCTAGTAGAATGGACTGAAGAAAAGAATTACGTGTTCAGGTTAAGTGAATTTGGGCCAAGAATACAAAGATGGTTGGCAGATAATCCAAATGGTATTTATATTACAACCCTAAACATGTATACTGACTGATACTGTTAACAATCCATGTTCTGTCTGTAGCAATGATGTAAAAGTAGCCTGGCCCTAAACATGTATACTGACTAATACTGTTGACAACCATGTTCTGTCTGTAGCAATGATGTAAAAGTAGTCAGGCCCTAAACATGTATACTGACTGATACTGTTAACAACCCATAATTTTTGTAAATAAAATGATGCTAGGTTTTCTTGTTTTAAATTTATACTAGTTATTAAACCAGCTAAGTTCACTAAAGTTTTACATCACTGGTTGAATGATGGTTTGCCAGATTTATCTGTATCCCGGCAACGTAGTAGACTGAAATGGGGTATACCTGTTGCCAATGACAACACTCAAACAGTAAGTATCACAACCCTGTATGTGTATTCCAGTCTACATTAATACAGTTTTAGCTACATTGTTATTAAATATGACCAATCAAAGTAGAAACCATGAAACCCATTCACACAAATCTTTAAACACAGCATTGCTGGACATTAATGTTGCACCATTTGTAGAGCAAAATTAGTTGGTCTTTGTCTCACTTTCTGGCTGTGCTGTGTGATGTGGATCGGTGTGGTAAGGTAGTTTGCTACCATTAAAAACATACTCAGAAATTTCCGAAATCCATTGAGAGGGGTTCGATTACTGTATTGTTAAGAATTCTGGAATAAAAATATATGGTCACCTTTTTCACAAGACAATCTTTTTTTATTCGGCCCTACATACATTTGATCCGACGCCTATGTAAGTCCCGTTCAAATCTCGTGTAAGTAACAGCCAATCACAGCCCCCCTTTTATACAGGCTGTCGGTTGCTTACTTTTCAGTGTCGCGATACTCTACGGGCAATCTTTCTGTACATTATATTTTGCCCACTTGAATAAACCATTAATAGAAAATTGCTAATATATTTTTATTTACAAAAGAAATTCCACACCATTTTACAATTTTTGTCATTACATTGAATATTTTTTTCACTTCCAACAAATGTGAACACTTCCTGATACATCTTCGCCAGCCAAGGTTCGTCTATTCAGTCATCGCTTCAATTTTACATCAAACACTGAGCATAATTATCTAGAATGGAAGCAAAAAAATAAGTAAATCGTAATGATTAGAACACTGTAAACAGCTATAGTAAACAATGCAAACTGATTTTAAATTGTATAACGGTCACCAGCCCACAGCATCGATGCAGAAAATTGGAGTAAAAAAATATTTCCTGATCAATTGCGATGTGTTCCAAATAAAAAATGTTTTATTCCAGTCCAAATCAGCTCAATTACTTTAATAAAGAGTTATTGTATAATGTTCAAAATGTTGACACATTTTGATGAATATTTACAGCTACGGCTTCAATACCGTAGAAGATTTTGGTCCAATCGTCAACAAAACATCACCCGTCTCCAGGGCAAGCGACTGGAAAAAGACACCGGTGTTCGGTCTAACCGGTGGAAACAAAATCGTCACTCCCAGAATAACTATGCAAAATAACGATCTAAACCCGAACCATTCGAGCCACAATATAAACATAAAAAAATTACTTTTGTTGCATTTAAACTTACCAAAAAGCTGTGTTTTTCTCGATCGCTAACGACGGTATAATCACCATTTTATTTGAGTGTGTTTGCTACCTGACTCTGCACAGTGACGTCATCATGTGCGCTATAGAAGGAGGTCTGTGATTCGTTGACTAAAATCATCGATATTGGCTCTTGTTGAAATCTTGTTACATTGGCATAAAAAAAATCACAAAATCAAAATCAAAGTAAAATAATAAAATAAAAGGCATTATTAACAAAAGTAATAAAAAAATAAAATTAAAATCAGTTTATAACCAAAATACTTAAAGCCTGTATACTACATCATATTTTAATCAGATTAAAACATTCCATCATATCTCAAAATTTTGTTTGGTGACCTATGCTAAAAAAATGATATGTAGTGTTATGAGTGCTACATATGAAATTCATGTTTGATAAAAAAAGATATTACTTGTTTCTTTTTGAAAACTAGCAGTCTGATTGCATTGATACTATTTTTGATAATCTGCATATATCTTTAAATCTTCTAGTGTGTATAGGCGACATTGATTTTACACAAATATAACAATTAATGACATTGACTCTTCTTTTCTATAACTGAGTGTACATCATTTTGTTTAGATATATGTTTGGTTAGATGCATTAGTGAATTATTTGACAGTATCTGGTTACCCACATAAGTCATATAGATGGCCAGCAGTACACCTTGTGGGAAAGGATATACTGAAGTAAGTAGTCATTCATCACAATACAAATTTACAACATATCTATTATTGTAATATTTAAATATCTCCATGTATTATGTACCTACATGTATACTCTATTCTACAGGAATCAGATTTCAAATGCACCTTTAAGAATTATCCTAAATGTCTAAGTATCTCCTGAAAGGGTAACAGCCAAATATTTCTGTACAAAAATGAAACAGCCTTTTATTTTGTCTCTGTACAAGACCATCTGTTATATTTTACCTCCTGCTGCATAGGTCAAAGCTTTTAGTCAGTGGTATGGAGTTATTTTATAATTAGTTTCTGCTCATATGAAGTTCAAAAAGAAAAGCTGATGTTTTGACCTTCATGTGTATGTGAGTGTATGTGCCTTACCTGAAAAGGGCAGTGATGCCTCACCTGAAGAGGCAGTATTGCCTCACCTGAAGAGGGCAATGTTGCCTCACCTGAAGAGGGCATTGTTGCCTTACCTGAAAAGGGCAGTGATGTCTCACCTGAAGAGGGCAGTGATGCCTCACCTGAAGAGGCCAGTGATGCCTCACCTGAGGAAGGCAGTGATGCCTCACCTGAAGAGGCAGTGTTGTCTCACCAGAAGAGGGCAATGTTGCCTCACCTGAAGAGGGCATTGTTGCCTTACCTGAAAAGGGCAGTGATGCCTCACCTGAAGAGGGCAGTGTTGCCACACCTGAGGAGGGCAGTGATGCCTCACCTGAAGAGGGCAGTGATGCCTCACCTGAAGAGGGCAGTGATGCCTCACCTGAGGAAGGCAGTGATGCCTCACCTGAAGAGGCAGTATTGCCTCACCTGAAGAGGGCAATGTTGCCTCACCTGAAGAGGGCATTGTTGCCTTACCTGAAAAGGGCAGTGATGTCTCACCTGAAGAGGGCAGTGATGCCTCACCTGAAGAGGCCAGTGATGCCTCACCTGAGGAAGACAGTGATGCCTCACCTGAAGAGGGCAGTGATGCTTCACCTGAAGAGGGCAGTGATGCCTCACCTGAGGAAGGCAGTGATGCCTCACCTGAAGAGGCAGTATTGCCTCACCTGAAAAGGGCAATGTTGCCTCACCTGAAGAGGGCATTGTTGCCTTACCTGAAAAGGGCAGTGATGTCTCACCTGAAGAGGGCAGTGTTGCCTCACCTGAAGAGGGCAGTGTTGCCACACCTGAGGAAGGCAGTGATGCCTCACCTGAAGAGGCAGTATTGTCTCACCTGAAGAGGGCAATGTTGCCTCACCTGAAGAGGGCATTGTTGCCTTACCTGAAAAGGGCAGTGATGTCTCACCTGAAGGGGGCAGTGATGCCTCACCTGAGGAAGGCAGTGATGCCTCACCTGAAGAGGGCAGTGATGCCTCACCTGAAGAGGGCAGTGTTGCCTCACCTGAAGAGGGCAATGTTGCCTCACCTGAAGAGGGCAATGTTGCCTCACCTGAAGAGGGCATTGTTGCCTTACTTGAAAAGGACATTGGTGCCTCACCTAAAAAGGGCAGTGGTGCCTCACCTAAAGAGGGCAGTGATGCCTCACCTAAAGAGGGCAGTGATGCCTCACCTGAAGAGGCCAGTGATGCCTCACCTGAAGAGGGAAGGGATGTCTCACCCGAGAAGGGCTTTGTTGCCTCACCTGAAGAGAGCAGTGATGCCTCACCTGAAGAGGGCATTGTTGCCTTACCTGAAAAGGGCAGTGATGCTTCACCTGAAGAGGGCAGTGTTGCCTCACCTGAGGAGGGCAGTGATGCCTTACCTGAAGAGGGCAATGTTGCCTCTCCTGAAGAAGGCATTGTTGCCTTACCTGAAAAGGGCAGTGGTGCCTCACCTAAAGAGGGCAGTGATGCCTCACCTGAAGAGGCTAGTGATGCCTCACCTGAAGAGAGAAGGGATGTCTCACCTGAGAAGGGCTTTGTTGCCTCACCTGAAGAGGGCAGTGATGCCTCACTCAAAGAGGGCAGTCGGGCCCGGGCCCCGAGGTGTATGTCTACTGGTATTGTATGGTTGCTTAAAAATGCATTTTTTTGGATGTTAATTCATTAGTTGTGCAACAAAAAATAAAACCACTTTTTATAATATATACGCAAATCTGATGTTTTGACCTTCATGTGTATGTGTGTGCATCCGTGAATCTGTATGCCACCTGTATCTCAAACATGCCTTGACTCGTACATCATGCATGTTCATTGAGATTTGTTATACAAGACAGCAGGGTGATCAGCACAGTTGAATATCAACTCGGGCCTTACAGTGGAATAACACTAAAGCCCAATTCCACTCCTTATGCCATGCCAGCCAAAAACATTGATGCTTCTCACTGGTCAGTTTTTGCGCAATACCCTGAAACCACCTGTGCCATTTTGCATTTGACCAGAATGAATGAGTAATTCTAACCCTTGAGTTGTGAGGGTTGTGTGTTCACCTTAACTGAAAAGGGCAGGGATTTGTAAACAATGTACTTTAGCAGACATAGAAGATGAAATGCATCTCCTCATCAAATGCCCAAAATATCACACACTGCGAATGGATATGTTCTCAAATATACAGTTTCCTGATGAAACAAAAACTGACCAACAGAAATTTACATACTTAATGAAAAATTCTAACACAAATGTAATCAAACTTGTTGGAGAATTTATACACAGCTCGTTCTTAATGAGAAACGAGAAAGATACTTAACAAAAACACTAAAATCTATCATTTATTATTTGCTATAGTTATTTTGTTATTTTGTTTTTTAATATCTTACTTTTGTTGCTATAAACTGATGGAAACACTGTATTTCTAAGGATGCAATAAATTATCTTTATTATGTCACACCTGAAAAGGCCAGTGATGCCTCACCTGAAGAGGACAGTGTTTCCTCACCTGAAGAGGGCAGTGATTCCTCACCTGAAAAGGGCAGTGGTGCCTCTCCTAAAGAGGGCAGTGATGCCTCACCTGAAGAGGGCAGTTATGCCTCACCTGAAGAGGGCGTTGTTGCCTTACCTGAAGAGGGCATTGTTGCTTTACCTGAAGAGGGCATTGTTGCCTTACCTGAAGAGGGCATTGTTGCCTTACCTGAAGAGGGCATTGTTGCCTTACCTGAAGAGGGCATTGTTGCCTTACCTGAAAAGGGCAGTGTTGCCTCACCTGAAGAGGGCAGTGTTGCCTCACCTGAAGAGGGCAGTGTTGCCTCACCTGAAGAGGGCAGTGATGCCTCACCTGAAAAGGGCAGTGGTGCCTCTCCTAAAGAGGGCAGTGATGCCTCACCTGAAGAGGTAACATTGTTGCCTCACCTGAAGAGGGCAGTGATGCCTCACCTGAAGAGGGCAGTGTTGCCTCACCTGAAGAGGGCAGTGATGCCTCACCTGAAGAGGGCAGTGATGCCTCACCTGAAGAGGGCAATGTTGCCTCACCTGAAGAGGGCATTGTTGCCTTACCTGAAAAGGGCAGTGATGCCTCACCTGAAGAGGGCAGTGTTGCCACACCTGAGGAGGGCAGTGATGCCTCACCTGAGGAGGGCAGTGATGCCTCACCTGAAGAGGGCAGTGATGCCTCACCTGAAGAGGCAGTGTTGTCTCACCTGAAGAGGGCAATGTTGCCTCACCTGAAGAAGGCATTGTTGCCTTACCTGAAACGGGCAGTGGTGCCTCACCTAAAGAGGGCAGTGATGCCTCACCTGAAGAGGCCAGTGATGCCTCACCTGAAGAGGGAAGGGATGTCTCACCTGAGAAGGACTTTGTTGCCTCACCTGAAGAGGGCAGTGGTGCCTCATCTAAAGAGGGCAGTGATGCCTCACTCAAAGAGGGCAGTCGGGCCCGGGGCCCGTGGTGTATGTCTACTGGTATTGTATGGTTGCTTAAAAATGCATTTTTTGGATGTTAATTCATTAGTTGTGCAACAAAAAATAAAACCACTTTGTATAATATATACGCAAATCTGATAATATAGTTTAGCCAGCTACTATAACATTGCTCTTTTTCACCATATTTTTATTAGCTCCGCTGTCGACTTTGTCGAGCGGAGCTTATCATATGAGTGATTGTCCGTCGTCGTCCGTGTCAATGTTTTACTTTTTCGACTTCTTCTTGAAAACTACAAGCCTGAATGCTTTGATACTTGGTGTATATGTACCTTGGGTAGACCTCTCTCAGATTTGTCCATTTCATGATCATATCTTCAATTCTC